TTTTGCGAGGCCTTCTTCTTCTTCAATAAACTTTATTTTTTTTCCGACACCGCGTGTCACATTCGGGTAAAGTGCAGGGTGTCCTTTTGTCTTATAAATGGCAAGATTCCGAAATTAAGAAACAGTCAGGTACAATGCCACGTTTTTGTGGCAAAGAAACGACTTAGAGCACCTGAGTCCTGAACCGTGTTATGTCATGACCCAACAGGTACCGCAAATTTGACAGTTGGCACATCGCACGTGAACAGAAGGGCAGAAGACACGAAGCAATCTCCAGACGCATATTACAACATTGTGGTACAAAAAGCTATTTACAAAGTGCAAGTCCTTTCAAAATAACGCTCGATAAGATTTTTCAGTAGGAGGTAGTTGACTTTGTTCTGAAGAAAGAGGCTCAGTTCACAGGGCCAATTACCACTCTTAGCATGCAAATTAAGTTTTACATGTTGCCTTATGTCATAAATCATTTGGCAGGTATAAATATAGTGCCGAACCCCGTCCTCTTCTCTACAGTAACTGCACAGCTTTGAACTTGACTTATGGAATCGACAGAGATACGTGTTGAACTGCCCGTGTCCCGTGAGAAACTGAGTCAACTAAAAGTTTGGACTAAACCAGCGACTGTGGAGATGTCGCTCGAGGCTTGGAAGGTAGCACCTGGAAATATGATCTAAGAGAATAGATTCCCACTCGTGCTGCTAAATGTCAATCATTTCCTTGCGAAGGAGAAGATTAAGTCTCGAGGATGGAAGAATATAGTAGTCAGGAAAGATGGTACGACAGTCAGCTCTTTTGTTCCCTGGAGTACCACAGTACCTTCTCGTCCACTCAATAGAAAAATTGTTGGAACTAGTTGAGATGATGTTGGGAATGTCCCTGCACAGTGGATGAAGACTGTCCTGTTTTATCAAGCCATGCAAAGCCGCAGAGCTGTCTATAATGATGTTAATCGCCCTTCCATAAAGGTTCTCCTCACACAAACGAACTGCGAAAAGAATGGTAAGGACCTCAGCCTGAAGGACCGAGCACTCCGGATGAAGAACACATGTGTGAAAGAAAATTTCTTTTTTCCTGAAATCAGAAAAAAACACACCCAATGCCATTACTAGTCCTGGATCCATCGGTGAAAACTTTCATTATAATATGGTTGCTGTCTATTGGTGTTTGTTATTTGTTACGAAGTAATGTTATGATTTACGTAAATAAACAGATTACGTAGTGAGTCACTCGCTTTCATGTAAAATAGAAACATTTTATTGTAAATATTCTTTATTTGCATAAATGAAAATTCAAAATATAATTAAATTTATATTCCTGTTTAATTAACACGTTTACGTGAAGCAATACAGAAAAAGAAACATCGTCACAATGCCCAACTGCAATATTTAATTATCTATTAATTTTTGTGATTTTCTTATATATCAGCACTTCGTGTACAATTAATTGGAATCTCGGAGTCATAAAGTATTCAATATCCAATCTCGATTTTAATATATCTAACACGGTTTTCGAGATGGAAAATAGACAAACCACAATCAGACAAAAGACAGATTGTCAATAGTGGGGATATTCTTGCCTAATTAAAATTTATTAAGTACTTTATTACATTTAAAATAGCATTACGTAGGACTACTATCCTTTGAAAACATTTTAAAACTTTAATTAATTAACTGACGTTGCATTATTCTTCGTTGTATATAGAAATAAATGCAAATAAAAATATGTAGATTCGATTTCAATGTTAGAAAATCTACGGAAAGTGAATGACATCATATTTTCTGCACTCCTGAAAATAATACAAACAATTAATAAAGTAAAAAAATATAAAAATAGATCATAAAGTAAAATTATTTTGTCAGTATGAATACAAGAAAAAATAATCTGGAAATTTTTGAATTAATTTGATCCTGTTACTTTTCTAAAGATTTCTGAGGATTCTCACTGGTAGCTGAGTGCATAAATCCACTGAACATTAATTCTTTTAGTTATGAGTAACATTATTAAAAGCTATGGCGAGCTCTACGGTTCATTAGAACTATTGATACTTACTTTTCTCCAGAATAAAGAGAGAATGAAGAACCGGACAAATCTCGAATAATTTAATGTATGAACATTAGTTCGTTACAAGTGGGTTAAAATATTACATAAAAGTGAAGTTAGTGCAACATAATAAATTCAAAATATTACAAAATTAAATACAGAATAATAGTCATTTTATGGAAATCGCGATAAATTGATTATATTTTTCCAGGATCTATATTCTATCAAATACTTTTTCTGGTAGCTTCAGATTTCATACGATAAAAGATAACATGTTTCCAAGATTCGTACACTTGCATACTACAATTACTTCAAAATCTCTCAGGATGTATTAGTAGAGTAATATTGTATGTCAAAATATAATTCTCACCACACCTCACTTGTAGTATTGAGCGTTTTATAAACAAATAATCTGTACATATAAGTTGTATATATTTTGTATGGCTTGTTCACAGCACACACTTATAACTAACGTTTGATAGCTTTCGATCAAATGAAGATCTTGAGACAACCATAGGAAAGAGAAACCGTGTCGATCTATAAACTTTTCAATCCAAGTAATTGCTCATAGAGGAGCAGCATAATATAATACAGACGAAATCATCGAACCAAATAATCTTAGATAGATATAAGCGGAAGTAATTGTAGCTCTTGAAAGAACAGGCCATATTGAATTTATTGTTATTTTAGCCTTATATATATAACATAATTTTTAGTCTGTATAAATTATATAGAAGATGAAAATAATACTCCCAAGTAGATGTAATTCGAAACGACTTGTAAAAGCTGATTATAATAAACCAGTTTTCTTTGGGTGATCGAATACCATTACTTTTGTTTTACAAACATTTATAGTTAATCCATAGCTACATCAAAATTTCTCCAGAATTGCAATTTTACTTTGTAACATTTGTGGGGTATCAGCAAGAATTACAGTGTCGTCAGCATGCATTAATATATGTAACTCAACTTGATCAGAGAGAGAACTCCAGGTAAGACAAATTTAGCATGTCGAATTATCAGATTATTAACGTAAAAATTAAAAATTAATAGGTTCAAAATTTTATCCTGTAAATTCCAATATCAATACTAAATGAATTAGTCATTTCGGCTAATATCTTGACTCTTGCAGTAACTTTGGTATATATATCAATTATAATGCCAAGAAACTGTTTATTCATGCCCATTCTTTCTAATACAGACCACAAAACTTTATGATTAACGCTACCAAATCAGAGCCAAAGCCTTACAGTCAGCACAAATTTTCATCTGTTTTTCTGCGATTTTTAATTGTACCAATGCGTTTAATACAAATACAGTAGAGCCTCGATTATCCGACCCCTGATTAACCGACACCTCAATTAACCGACCGTCCTAGTCGGCAAATTACAAATGTCCGCTAGTGATGTGGCGCTACAATATTTGGCTATGTCTTGGCTACTTTAATATTATTTTTACGTGTTTTAGCTGGCAACACTCATTCGACCATGAAAGGGAGCCAGTATTTAAACGACGCTTAATTTTCTAATTTTTAACTATACATTAGCGACGATTATTATTTTGAAAAATTTTTGTTAGGCTTAACATCGATGAAAATTCAACGCGAAGTAGGTTAATAGCGACATACTAATATACTAATTACATGGGATATAATAATATACTACACTAATAATGAATTTTTTCATACTTTTCGGTTATCCGAATTTTCAATTATCCGACCAACCCAGCCCCCAATTGAGTCGGATAATCGAGGCTCTACTGTAGTTGATTCTGACACGAAACCTGTTTGGTCCTGGCACAAAATATTATATTTAATAATTTAATCTTTAAATCTTTTATTTAATAAAGACGTAAATACTTTACCAATTACAGCAGGGCTTCTTAAACTTTCTTTATTCACGACCCCATTTATGATTGTGATTTCTTTCGCGACCCCCAAAAAAAATATAAAATAAAGATGTATACAAGTTTGCAAAAACAATAATGGTGTATTACTACAGTTCACTCTTGTGTTAAAACGGAACAGAGATAACTGAATACACTGAAAAGCGAAAACACTACACTAGTTCACACTAAAGTGTTGCTGAATCATTGTCTCACTGCACCAGAAGTGACACAAAGCGCAATTCACGAAACCTATGACACAAACCGTGCCATTTTCAAACTCACAAATTATTTTCAATATTTTGCATTAAAATCTCGCGACCCCAAGATTTCGCTAAGCGACCCCAAATGGGGTCGCGACCCATAGTTTAAGAAGCCCTGAATTACAGAAACGAAGATATAAGTCGGTAATATTTGGGGTCATACAAATTGCATTTTTATCACGCTCCACGTATTTTCTTTTTTAAAAGTAAATATCTATAATGATTTTTCTTTCCAATAAACCTCTTCTATTTCACGTGTTTTTCATCAATTTTACGTTTATATAATTGAATGTTTGTTAAGTTACGTTAATTATAATTACACCAAAATAAAAATATAAAATTATTCACTATTTTCCATGTACTTTTTAAAATTTACCTTTGTAACAATTGAGCCTCAACGTTAAGACTTTACACATGTCTGATTGTTTAATTAATAAATGTCGTAGAAAAATTGATGGAGCGAGATTTAAATGTAAAACTTAGAGAAAACTTCTAAATAAAGGAAAATCTGGGAGTACCATGTTTTGAATGAACTCTATACTCTTTCTCTTTGTTACATGTAATAGAAGAAATATTAAAAAAACAAAAATTCATGATTTCATAAAATTGAATCCTCGGTTACAGTTTACGTGTTCAAAAACTCTTAAACAACTGAACTTGGTTCAGGTGTTTCAGAATTGCGGTTCAACTATCAATCAAAAAATACAGTAGTATTGAGTATATGTAAATTAGATAATATATTCGATAATATACCATTTTTCACGGTAAAATCACAATTTTATTGCTATTTATTTTAGTATTTATAAAATGACTAAACTTACAGTAAAAATTTTTTAGTCGTTTAATGCTTTATACCAGTAAACGTATACACTGTCCTCTTCCGGAATCACTTTATCGGGTGCTGCAAAATTTATAACAATATAATTTCATATGGTATATTTGTAAAATATTTGTACGAATCGAATTAAGAATAACATTAAAAAATTATATTAATAATAAAATGAATTAGGAAGAGAGCATAAAAATAACTGAAATACTTACATTGTTCAAAATAGATTGTCGAATTGTCGACTTTTTTATAAAGTTGCCAGTAAATTCTTTTTTCGGGATCATTGACTAGACCGAATATCATATATATATACTTACCCCACGGATAATCATGATATTTAAATCTGAAACGATTTAAATGTCGTTTTACATAAAGATAATTGAATTAGTAGCATATAATATGATTTTAATAATCTTAATACAGTAAATTCCTGGTTTAATAAACTCTGTAAAATTATTTACTATATACCTTATGGTCGCGCCAATCCGAACAAATTGAAACAAGTGGTGATTTGGAATAAAAGGTTCAGGATATTGTGTGTACATTTTGATGCCATTTTTTACTATTGGAAGATACTTTTCAGTGTATAATAGAAATTAGAATTGTTGTTAATTCAGTCAAAGACAGTGACAGAAAGAATGAGCAGCAATACACACGACACGTGGGTTATATCTAATTTATAAGTGAGTTTCGAGTATACAGTAAAATTGATTCGTGCATTATTTGAAATAAAGAAATGGTACAAATTTTACGGATTACAAGAGGTTCGGCTTAGCCTGGGCGTAGGAAAACAACAAACATGTGTTTACCGTATCGCATGGTAATTATGTTGAATCTATTATAACTAATTTCGACTAATATTTCTTTATAGATTATCGAGTAATAATAATGTGACGGTCCAAAACCCTTTTGTTTTAGAACATTATTACCTTTCTAATAAACTTCGTGATTAGGTAAAAAGGGAAAAAAGGAGACTTTTCACGTGACACTTGGTTACAGCAATAAATTGCCTCGTTCATAGTCAAACGCGACGTTTGATATAAACAATATCTAGATAGATGACCAGATTAAAGAAATTATTGTCAGATGAATGTTAATTTATGGATGAGAGCTGTCATACCAATAGAAATCTTCTAGACACCAATATCTATAAATTAAACACACTTCTCTGTGTCAGTTGTCCGTACAAGCTAGATCCAGACATCAACACGCTAACAGGTGTGCGTATAATTCATTAATGATCAATAGTTCTCACCCTCTCAAAAATAGTATAAAGAGGGCTTGGACACAGTCCACAAGGCGGACACCTCCAGGGCGGACATCGACTACCACATCTACTGACCCATACCGTCACGCTATCCGTCGCTAACTCGCCATAACTGCCGTGACGATCCAGGAACGTTTTTACCAACGACCCATATTACGGATCAAAAACTTAGAGGTATTTTTTGGGTATGTATTTGTAAACTCTCTTTCCCTGCGAAGTCTCTCTCCGAGAGGTCTCCCTATCGTCTCTTAATTTAACTTAGAGAACAAAGATTAGATGTTCCATATAAAAGACGAATCATTATCGCAACATAAAATAGAATTTTTGTAGCTCTTTACCTTCACGTTTGATATTTAGAATTTTATAGTTGTTTATTAAATGTGTTATTCTTGTTCAACCTGTGTATTTATTTGGGAACCTGTCAACTTACTCATTAACCTACCCACTCATTTTATTTTGCCCTCCTATAAAGCAATCCTCTGACAGAGCCGCCGGTAAGTGGGGACAACTAACCCCCTCGGTTCTCACAATAAATTTAATCATGAAACGATAAGAAATAAACAAGAATAGAATTTTATCATTTAAATTCTAAATTCTAAAATACTATGAAAGTGTTTACAAAATTATCAATTGTAATCATGTTTGGACAATATAAATGTAGATGAATCTATAATACATTCTGTATTATACTAAATAAATGAACCAGAAACGAGTTGCTCAACTTTCTCGGCAACATTCAAAATTTCGGTTGCCTCATCTGTTATCATATTTTATTAAAACAATTTTTAAAATTTTTAAATATTAAAAAATAACAAAAAGCTTAATTTTGACAGTAGAAATGAGTTTTATAAGAAATGGCAATAACAAGTAAAAAGGTCGTTAGTCCTACCCTACTGAAAATACACACGATCCCTTTTATCTTTCTAACTACTTAATCTTTAGCCACCAAAATTACACATTATTGATCTCCCTGATAAGCAAAACGGCCAGCAAAATTTTAGATACATTCCATAAAAAGCACAGGAATTATTAAACTTCAAAGAAGATANTTCTTGTAAAGTTGTAATTATTTTAATTATTTTTATTTCCAAACTGATTTTAACCAGTTCTATAGTAAGGTAACATTCCAATAGACAATATGCAAAGCTTTTTTTTTCAGTTTACAGCAGTATTTATTACACAAAATTTAAGTAAAGCTTAACATGCCGATCTTGCCCCGATCTCCCCTAAACACGCTTCTCTGTGTCAGTTGTCCGTACAAGCTAGATCCAGACATCAACACGCTAACAGGTGTGCGTATAATTCATTAATGATCAATAGTTCTCACCCTCTCAAAAATAGTATAAAGAGGGCTTGGACACAGTCCACAAGGCGGACACCTCCAGGGCGGACATCGACTACCACATCTACTGACCCATACCGTCACGCTATCCGTCGCTAACTCGCCATAACTGCCGTGAAGATCCAGGAACGTTTTTACCAACGACCCATATTACGGATCAGAAACTTAGAGGTATTTTTTGGGTATGTATTTGTAAACTCTCTCTCCCTGCGAAGTCTCTCTCCGAGAGGTCTCCCTATCATCTCTTAATTTAACTTAGAGAATAGAGATTAGATGTTCCATATATAAGACGAATCATCATTGCAACGTAGAATAGAATTTTTGTAGCTCTTTACCTTCACGTTTGATATGTAGAATTTTATAGTTGTTTATTAAATGTGTTATTCTTGTTCAACCTGTGTATTTATTTGGAAACCTGTCAACTTACTCATTAACCTACCCACTCATTTTATTTTGCCCTCCTATAAAGCAATCCTCTGACAGAGCCGCCGGTAAGTGGGGACAACTAACCCCCTCGGTTCTCACAATAAATTTAATCATAAAACGATAAGAAATAAACAAGAATAGAATTTTATCATTTAAATTTTAAATTCTAAAATACTATGAAAGTGTTTACACTTTCATAGTATTTTAGTATTATTTCATAGTATTTACAAAATTATCAATTGTAATCACGTTTGGACAATATAAATGTAGATGAATCTATAATACATTCTGTATTATACTAAATAAATGAACCAGCGACGAGTTGCTCAACTTTCTCGGCAACATTCAAAATTTCGGTTGCCTCATCTGTTATCATATTTTATTAAAACAATTTTTGTTATTTTTAAATATTAAAAAATAACAAAAAGCTTAATTTTGACAGTAGAAATGAGTTTTATAAGAAATGGCAATAACAAGTAAAAAGGTCGTTAGTCCTACCCTACTGAAAATACACACGATCCCTTTTATCTTTCTACCCACTCAAACTTTAGCCACCAAAATTACACATTATTGATCTCCCTGATAAGCAAACCGGCCTGCAAAATTTTACATACATTCCATGAAAGCACAGGAATTATTAAACTTCAAAGAAGATAAACAAGATCGTCTATCCCACACACTAACACCCAAATATAAAAAAATTACCATTAAATATTTTTGCATTTTTTGACACATCAAAGAATTTCCTACGTTTAGAAACGTAAAAATCTTGAAGAATAATTTTTTTACCGATCGTCATAATTTCCCTCCGTTATATAGAGCAACCGATAATGTAAAAATGAAATGATAAGCAGTTTTATCAAAGATATTTTAATAATTCATGCGCTATATGTGTTACGTTCTGTAATACATAAAATACATAGAGTGGAAAGCAAAGCCATTAGAAATAGATATATAAAAATTTTTACTGTAATTAGTATTAATGTAGAAGATAATTTATCTCTCTCATTCCTTGAATATTCATCTAACACTTTTAATAAATAAATAAACCTATTGATATGTTAATACTCTAAAATATGCAATTAGCTGATACCCAGGCCAAAAAGTAACAAAATTACTTGCTTCGTCTGAAAAATTGACAATGGAATGGTAATGATTAAGAGGAGTAATCTCATGTCCTCGTGTTCTACACACTAGGGTATTGTATTAATAAAAAAAAACGGTCTTAATTAATAACTTTAAACAAAAGCCACAAAACTACCTTTTTCAATATAAGAATTGATGTGTGGGTAAGAATTTCATGGAGAAAAGAAACAGATGATAAAAACTTACCGAAATTTATTATCTAATTCTGAAGCTAATCGCATGACATCGTAAAACGTCGAATTAACGGGAACGTTTAATAAAATATTAAAAATGATATCTTTGTCTTGTCCAACGAAAATAAAGTAGCTAACACGGTGCTTCGAGAGTTTTTTAGAATCGATTTCTTCCTGCATCGTAATGTTACCTGAAAAGATTTAATAATAATCAATGTGGAAACTGTAAATACCAAAAGAAATTCAGATACCAACGTGGTTTGACCATTGAGCATTTTAATTTTCCCAAATCGACAAATGTTTTTCTATTCAGTATTGGAAGTATTAAGTATGTTGCCAAACTATCCCCGAAGGATCCGTCTTGGTTTTGTTGCGAAATGATATAATTAATGGCTTTCGTTACAATTTGTTGTTTCGCGATGCTGACGTTTAAATCCACGGAAAATAGCGCCTATTAATATAAATCGACGTAATAAAATTAATAAAACAAAATACAATTAGTGTATTTACGTAGTAATGAATTATTGAAACTTACGTGCATTAAAATGGCAGTTGTGTGCAAATTTCCGAAGCTACCGTCTTCATTCTGTAACGTAGTTAATTGCTCTGTTATTGCGCTAAAGGATGGCATTTTTCTATTATACTTAAAAGTTTCATCCGTGGAAGAGTTTATTTGATATGATTTAATTCGGTTTTCCATACACCACAAAGCCATAATAGCATACGCCTGAGTATCTGTAGAAAATTTCAAAAATAAATATATCGAACTTTTAAAATTTTATAAGAAAGACGATTAGAAAAATTTCAATATTATAAATTTGCCTTTTTTCAATAATTTGATATTTGCCCTTTATCTGTGCACGTGTCCGAATCGAAGAATAAATGTTATTATTAAATCCTCGGACACTTTATTCATTTTACTTATTTATGTTATATACATTATTCTTTATATACTTTCGAGACATAAGAAAATAAATATTATCAGAAATTCTCTTAACTTTAAACTTCGAAAGACTTATTTGTAAAGTCTGAAATTTAAATTGCTCTCTTTAATTAAATAAACGACATTAATACAATGCTTTGTAATATGTTTGAATTCAGGTAACAAAATTCTTAATTTTTACTCAAATACATAAACAACTTTTTGACAAAATGTACACCTTACAATTAACCCAATGCTGTTAATAGTGCTGCATTACAATACTTATCTGCTGCTTTAGCTAGCTTCGAGGTAGATGCTGTATATGCTACAGACGTGTACCTTATAGTGTAGCTATAGGTAAAGTACTGTATATATTAGTAGCGTATTCTGTATTTGCAAGATATCTAATACCATACACGCAGCGGCAAAAATATATTTCTATTAATTAGAAAAATTAATTTATATATAAAATTTCTATTATATGAAACATACATATGATTGATTAGATATTAGAATATAAAACATATTTTTTCTGTTTATAAACTTTCATTAATCAAATGAGATATTTATCATTACCTATCGAGTATGGTGAATTCTTTATTATTAATGCAGTTTCTTCTAATTTTCTTACTTGCCGTGACAAAAGAGTTTCATTTGAATTACAAATTGCCAATGCAACCATAGCATTAATTGATTTTGTCTTTTCCATTTTCTCTTTCAGTAATTCTACTAAATCGTACCCTTGAAAGTTTCTCGGATCAGAACAAATTGCCAGTAACGAATGTACGTAGGATGCTATTTCGTATGCCTCGATATTTTCTACGCCTTTTCTGAAAAACGTATAGGCCTATATAGTTTTACGTAAAAGAAGTAATCAATCGTCAAGTACAAAATATTTTGCATTACGTGAGTAAAGTTCCAGAAAGTTGAAGTTTTAGTTGCTTTAACATTAATTGACTTTCATGTAGTTCGAAATTCAGACTATCGGAGAGACGAAGTGTGACAATGGCTCGACTGGTGTCCTTTCCCCAACCCCAATCCGATCTTCGTTGCCTAAGCAACCAAGAAAGCCCTTTTCCTGTACTTTCTATTACTCCAGGTATATCTTCGATTCGATAACCTTCTATTTCTAAAATAAAATAAAATAAAGTAAATAAGAAAAAAATAATTACTGTTTATAGCTATATTTGATAATTATGTAAATATAATTACAACTTACGGCAATCGCGTTCGTCAGACTTATCTGTACAGTCTCCCTCACCGTCGCATACCCATGCAATTGGAATGCACTTTGCATTATTTTTACAATAAGTTTGATCTTTTTCACAATAGGGGTAATCTGCAAATGGATCAATATTTTATTATAGGATAGTTACTTTCATAAAATATTTTTAATGTTTNATAAAATAAAATAAAGTAAATAAGAAAAAAATAATTACTGTTTATAGCTATTTTTGATATTTATGTAAATATAATTACAACTTACGGCAATCGCGTTCGTCAGACTTATCTGTGCAGTCTCCCTCACCGTCGCATACCCATGCAATTGGAATGCACTTTTGATTATTTTCACAATAAGTTTGATCTTTTTCACAATAGGGGTAATCTGCAAATGGATCAATATTTTATTATGAGATAGTTACTTTCATAAAATATTTTTAATGTTTTTAACAACATATTTCGTATTAAGGATCATATTCATATGAATAAAATGAATGTTCTGTCTGAAGCGTTTAGGTTTAAAAAAACACTTATGGAGTTTTATATTTGCGTGATATGTTCTAGAATTTATATACCACGGGTGGGCAGAAAAGAGTTCAGTGTGAGCCGAAATGTAGGTTGTGCAAAATGCATGGAAGCTACAGTTCTGTACTTTTTTATTCTGTACCGCACTTCTGTGTCGCAACTTTATTATATAATATAAATATGGAGAGCGAACCGCCAACGAGACGACGAGAGCGGGACGAGACCCGACTTCGCGAGAGCCGACGACGATTGAAGAAGAACGCGCGAAAAGACGAAAGACGAAAAAGAAGTCATACATTTGTTTTTTACAACAATTACAATATTTTTTATGTAATTTGTATTCCTTAAAACGTTCCTGTTATCCAAATCTTTCTTACCTCAATTAAAGTTTTTCAAAAGACAAAAAAAAAGTCTCACATAAATATAATATAAAACAAATATTGAATATTTCTAATAAACANAAATTAAAGAAAATTTATGTGATTGTATGCAACGTTGTACCCTGACTTCGCGATTTTCGTCAGACAAACCTATCGCGTGAATTTGTATTACTGTATTATAATATAACATAACAGAAGGGTGAGAAGTTTCTAATAATCTTAATATTTGTTGTTGTTATTTTTTGCCCGAACAAAGCCGAGCTCATCTCATCTACTGATTTTTTGTGTATAAGGAGAAAAATCACATTAAGAATGTTACAAGACATTGAAGTTATTCGACCAAACAATTAGGATTCATACAAACACCCATCAACCTTATAATGTCACTAAAATAATAATAAACTAATAAGCCTGTGATTTAAAGGCGTGTATTCAGTATGTTCTCAGTAGCTTCCTTCAAGTTTAGAACAGATCGACACGAGAAGACCTCAAATACATTTGACGAAGAAAACATAATTTATGTTGCTAAATAATCAATTTAAACAAATTAATAATAACGACAATTGTAACAGTAAGAAAGCAGTTATTATTTATTTTTGCGAAAAATTTTCAATAAAAAGTGTACGATACTGATATTTCTCTATATTAAAACACTGTGTAAAAACTGAATTTGATGTTATTACATTTTCACATGCCAAATCGTAATAATAGTAACGATTATAGCACATCTACGTTATCTTATACATTTTATATGCCGTTGAATAAAAGCAACATATACAACACTACATTCTACAATGTTTATTCGAATTTATATTATCAAAGTAATTTTTAAAACAATGTATATTATTTTGTCACTTTTCTTCAGTTTTTGTTTTATAGAGTTAATCGATCTGGCAAGTGAGCAGCACATATTAGAAGCACAGAACATAAAAAAATAAATTCTTGAAAGAAACTTCAAGACAGCACCAGTTTATTGTACAGGCCTTGCAAAATGCAGTCAGTTCTTCAAATAATCAACTTTCTCTTGATACTGCTGAAACATTTATCAGGGCAGAAATTCCGTTATTGAAACAAATTTAAGAATTATCTTGAAAAATATATTGGAAAGTAATTGCCAAATGAAAGTATTATTTGGAAGAATTACTTGCATTTTGTCTACCAACAAACTTTTCAAAAAGAGTTAAGTACTGTGGATGAGAATCCAATCGGCATTATCTTGGATGAGAGTACTGATGCCTTGAGCAGCTGTGTATTAAATATCTTGATAGTTTTTCTAATTAGTGAATACATGAAAGGTATGTTGCTGAAATCATATTTTTGAAAAAAAAATCTAACAGCACAGTCGTCATGCAAGCTTCTAACGATGCCTGCTCGAAGCTTTGGCCACATAGAATTCCATACGACGATGTAATTCTTATTCTTTCAGATGGTTCTCGCTTTCAACAATTTGAACAAATGTACCCAAATATGAAACAAATGACTTGTTTAGCACATGCTATCCACAGAGTGTGTGAATATATTCGCGAAGATTACTGTGTAGTAAATTCGTATATGCCAGAAACGAAAAAATCTTCGCTAAAGTGCCCAGTAAAAATTAGTAATACAAAGACATTACTTGTCTGCCTGTTCCACCTCTTCTAATAGTAATTCGCTGGTAAACTTCAATGACTGCTGCAGTGCTTCATTGTGGAAATTTTCAGATGACTTCAGATATTCTTAAACAGTTGCAACCAAAAACTGCCGCAATATATAAATTTCAACAGGTCATAAAAGAACAACAATTGGAAGAAGAACAGTACACAAATTTAAGTTTTTATTATGAGCAATAAAAAGTTCGGATGAAACCGAAAATATATGGAATGTCAAACAAACTAGACCGTTAGAGGGAATTGCATAAAAAAAGCTTGAGCAGTCAACTTGGAACAACCCAGATATTCGTGAATTTGTTCAATGCAAAGACATGCACCAGACAATTAAAACACGTTCGATCCACTTGTTTCTGTGCAAAAATCCGGTCTTAATAAAAATAAATTCTATATATATGTTTTTATACTTGTAAACAAAAACACATAACGAAGAATATAATCACAGTCAATGTATGTTTGAAGCAGGCCATATTTTGGCAAATGATAGTTCAATAAAGAAACATACGACAGAAATCATGTATCCAAGTAATAGCATTACAATCGGGGTTAGTAAATCTTCCACCATTAATGGTCGATATGATTCCGAATCGAATTTCATTTCGGACAAACCTAAATATTCATAATAGGTTATTCCTGCATCGAATAATCTGGATATTCTGAAATGGGTAAAAAAACCAACATTACGTTTAAATGATGATTTTTCTGTAAATACGATATAAAAACCGTAGACTTACATTTTATCAATAATTGGCTTATAAATTGATCCCTTCGTCAAACCATATCCCATTGTAAAAGTTTGAACAGAATCACTAGAAATGAGAACTTCTTTATCATCATATTTCTTCAATACCTGTTTCATGGCAAATTCTTCAGTAATGAAAGCAAATCGTCCTTCTAATACTTTTTGAAATCCATCTTCTTCCGAAAACAAATTCTTTCTCTCTTGAATATGATTATTTATTATTTTAATATGTAATTCTGTCGAATCCTACAAAACAGAAATAAATAAGTTAATAAAATAATTTTTAAAAATTTCATACTCGTACTTAAACACAAAACGATCCACTGTTGATGAATATACCTTTCATTTCAATTATTGTAGATGGAATTTTATTAAATGCTTAAAAATATATTTATTAGAAAGACGTAAGTTTCTAAATACTTTGAAAACATATTAGCTCTGTTATGAAAGTGATAACTTCTATGCATACCATCAGATACGATGTGATTGCATTGCCAGTCACAGTGCCACATGAAAAGTCTCCTCTTTGAACAGTAGTTGCTAGTTCTTCGACAGTTCGTGGGACAAATTCTAGTTTCGAAGTTGTCATGAAAGACAGTAAAATGCCAGTATAACTCCATACTAGCACCACCGTTGCTATCAACCATACTGCAATAATTATTCTCGAAGGAAATCTAACTACGAAATTTAGGCGTGCTCCTAGTAAGAGAAAAAATCTAATCTTAAATGAAGTTTCTGACATTACAAGATATATATTTTAATTTTTAATTTCAACCATGATTGAGAAAGGTTCCAAAAAGAAACCAATAAGCTCTCGACACAGTCCAATCTGGAGTGTTCTCATCCAGACGTGCTTCTTCTTTCAACACTTTGTAAATCACTAATCCACATATTAATGTAGAAGTAAACATTAATATCCATACCTGTAAAATTTTAATAAATCACGCGTTTAAAACTTTTTAACTTTTGCAAACAAATAAAATATAAATCAACTTACTATCAGAGAAAATTGTCGAATCAGAGATGTCCAATTAAACATTTTCTTTGGTACTTTTATCATAAATGGATATCTTACGAACGCGACATTTGAAGAATAATCAATCACTTTCAATCGTTCTTCCGTCATCACAAGGGAATTGAAGGTAATATCTGCTTTCTAATATATTTTTATAAACATAATATTTAAGGTAATATTTCAAAACAAAAATTTTATGTTTTTCTACTATAATAAAAAGTCAATATACAAAACACACATTTTAAATATAAAATTATATATGAACGATAAAGTAATGCAATATGGCTGACCATAATTGTGTGGGAGGGACTCAGTACTGAGACTTAGAAGTCACATGATTCCAGCGTTTTTCCAGAGAGTTAGGCAGAGACCGACCTCTCAGTACCACACTGAAAATCTCTGTAGACGGTTGCAATCTCTTTGACTGCTTCCAGCAGCTACCACACAACTCAAGATCCTAGGAGCAGCTTTTCCCATTCTCATTTCAAGATCTGTAGAGCCATTACTTGTGGACATACCGGCATTCGTAGTCCAACTTGTTTCCAAATTTTTCACAGCGGTAAGCAGAATCTAGATCTTAATGATTTCCTAGTCAACTTGCCTATTATTAGGTCAACAATGTAAATAATTATGGCCACCCCAGTAATGTCAATGAACACCAATAAGATATGATGAATGGTATCTCTAGCACTAGTACGTACCAAAGCTAAATCATGGCGAGTCTGACGACCCGGATAAATTAACATCTTCTCATTACCTTACCTTATTCACAATTTGTCCAATTATTTCTTTCCAGCTTCCGTTTGTTGTCTTCATACCAAATGATATTGGAATAGATTTCACCAATTCATATCTTAAAAAAGTTAAGTTTTATATTTAAAAATTTAAATCACGCATTTACAATGTAACATTTAAAATGATGTCAACTAAAATCTTTGATTCTTGTAATCAAAATTTATCTGATATTCTGAAATCAAATTATTTTCGTGTCTAGATTAAGAAGACAAAATTTATGTTTAAATTAATTATTTAAAGAGAACATCTTTATAATAAAGCAACAACAAGTTGCTGAACTTTGCCGGCCACAATGAGTCAGACGATTCTAATTTACCGGGAACGGATCGCAAAGTAAGTACCACAACAAAGTGAATTACCTGAGCAAAAGTCGCACACCTTGGAGGACAAAAAAAAGATTCGAACTCAAGCTACGGGACGGACGTATTTTAAAAAACAATACACATTGTTACACTTTTCTACATTGCCAATTTCGTCTGTCTGTAAAGCCATCTCCGCCGAAGATCCATTGTCGTCTTTTGACCATCACATAACCTGAA